GATGACCAGATCTCCGAGTTCAAGGAAGCCTTCAGCCTATTTGACAAAGATGGCGATGGTTCGATCCCCCTTCTCTTCTATCATTTCATATATTTTCGTGTATATTTATATATATTTGTGTTTCAGCTCGAGTTCTATGCATACAAATTTTGATGTTTTGATATGGATTTTATGTTTTCAAGTCGGATCTGCTTCTTTTTATTATTATTATTGTTTTCCTATTTTCTAAGTTCTTGGTGTTTAGGGTAATAAGCTCATCCTAGCAATTTGATCCGAGTCGATTTCAAAATTAGATTTAAATTTAAAGATTGGTGTTGAGCCACTGTATAAGATGGTGGCATCGTAAGGGTGATATTTAAGTTTAATTAAATATGAAAATAATAATTAGCGGATAAGGCTATTTATTTTAACAGGTTCGATTGTTTAAGATGGAACCTAAGACTCAATACTGTGGTTTGATCTTAGATATAAGCTGCCTTCTGTATTTGGTACCGACTTTTGCAGTCAACGAGGAATTTCTTTATCTTGTTCTTGTAGTCTATTCAGCTGCAAAGAAGTATTGAAGGGCTTATAAATTTTTATTTTTATTCGAATAATCAAATAAATGTATGGCCCCCCAAAAATATCAGTTTTTTGTTTTATTGACAGTGGAGCCAATTTGGGATTCGGGAGTGTGAAATATTTTTAGAAAGACTGTAAAGTCCATGATTAGAAAATACTCAAATAGAAAGGAAGGAGAATCAATGATTAGAATATAGAAAGGATGGAGAGAGGATTTATTTATCTGATTTTTGAAAAATTTGTTTCGAAAACTGTTGTCTGGATGAGATTAAAGAGTTTCTAAAAGTTCATTAGAAAATATTTGTCTTTGTTTTCTTTTCCCAGGTTGAGGCTCTTTTTTCTTTTTAGTTTGAAAATTGAGAAAATAATGTACTTTATCGATGTAATGGAAGGAGAATGGAGATAGGGCAATATACTGTTTATTTGATGAGCATAAACTTTTGAAGTGCACGAAAAGAAATTTCTTTTTATGTCGTATGTGTGTGTGTAAATATATCCGATGTACATCATAGTTGGGAAATGGGGAAACTAATGTGATTGGATTTATGGATGTAACTTGTAAGGGAGGGAAAGTGAAGGGGAAAAAAAGGGTTTAAACTTCCTTTTTTTACACGTATGCGATGAAGTTCACATGATAAGAATCTTTGTTGACTATCAAAAACTGGGAAAAAATGCTATCTGAATTAGTTTGTTGGTAATATGTATTAATTATTCTCCCGTGTATTATATCTTTTTACATATTGTTTGGAGAAGTTCAGTTATACTATATTAGTTACTTTACATCCATCCATAGTTAATATGCACATGATTTTTCTTTTACCTATTCGTTAGCCACAGTATGGAAATTATACATGGGTGTTATATAGCATTTGAATGTGTGATATACTTGTTGGGCTCCATGAAGCGTATTCATAATGCTCACTGATCCCTTCGATCGTGGATCAACCTTGGGATAAGAGAGCTGTGAGAAAACCTTTTGTTCATTATTATCGTGGAATAAGTGGACAAATGAATCACTATAGAATAGTGTCTGGTTTGCGTGTTTCTAATTTCATTCTGCTTATCATTTCTGGCGATATTGGGATTGGGACCAAGTCCTCACAATTCTGTTGTAATGTTTTCGATTATGCTACTGAAAGGTGTGAAGCATCTCAATGGATATTCTATTTTATTGTAATGTTTTCGTCTTTGTGCAGGTTGCATCACTACCAAGGAGCTTGGAACTGTGATGAGATCCCTGGGACAGAATCCTACTGAGGCCGAGCTTCAAGACATGATTAATGAGGTGGATGCTGATGGTAATGGAACCATTGACTTCCCAGAGTTTTTGAACCTAATGGCCCGGAAAATGAAGGACACTGATTCTGAGGAGGAACTGAAAGAGGCATTCCGTGTTTTTGACAAGGATCAGAACGGTTTCATCTCTGCTGCAGAGCTGCGCCATGTGATGACACACCTTGGCGAGAAGATGCCTGATGAGGAAGTTGACGAGATGATTCGGGAGGCTGATGTTGATGGCGATGGACAACTCAATTATGAAGAGTTTGTGAAGATTATGAGAAGTTGACTGATGAGGAAGTTGACGAGATGATTCGGGAGGCTGATGTTGATGGCGATGGACAAATCAATTATGAAGAGGTTGTGAAGATTATGATGGCTAAGTGATGTCCTCACCTCATTAAATCTAGAACGAGTTATGAACAGGGTTTAGTAGTTAAGGGATTTCTAGTTTCCTTTTCATCATATTTATTATGGCATTTAACGAATTTAATAGTCTGCTGTAATGTTTGTCGGATTTCTTTATCGTTTTGTGGTGTTATGTTTGCTACTCGAAGCAGCAATTTAATTTTGTATTCCATCCGTGTTTACGAGCTGTTGCCTGAGTTCAACCTGATTAGTATTCGTTATGCAACTTCTTGCATATGCTTGCAGTTGGGTCAATATGCCTTACGGCTGTCGGATAAGATAATCGGGCACCTGTGTCTGATGTGTTACATAAGCACAGAGAGTGTTTCGTTTGTGCAAATATAAGTCATTCTGACCGTAGGATCCAGAAGTTGGCTGGGAGTTTCAAGGATAGATCATAAAAGTATCGGTCAAAGTTTAACTGTTGATTGTGAAAATGTTCTTTGTAGTTGCGTGGCTGTCGTAAAACTCCACAAAATAGAAAAATATCAGATGTGAGAACCATTTGAACAAGAAAAATTGTACTCAAGGTCAAGAGTTGAACACGTCGAGCGACAATAACATAGCATAAATGGGATTTGTCGTCCAAAAGATCCTTGAAAGTTTTACAATCTCTTCAAACTCTTCTTTCTTGCATCCATCTTCTTCTTGTCCGTCGGAGCTTTTGCTAGCCCAACTTCCTTCTTTTGTGCCCCTGGAACTCCAGTCTCAGTCAATGAAGTTAAGGCAGCCGGTAAATCTTGACCATTTTCGGGTTTTGGAGCCAATGGAGACGGCAGTTGGGCTGCAGCACCTGCCACTGCATTCTTCTGGTCGATGCTTTTGATTGAGTCATTCTTCTGTTCAACGTTTAGGGCAGTGGTAGACTCAGAAATAGCGCCAGTTTTGAACTTTGGCTTTGGCTTGAGAGCATGTATACCGGTGTAAAGTCTGCAATTTTAGAAAACCGATGAACACCACCAAATCATAAAATATGGCTAGCCATCACAGTTCCATACATCACTAAAAACACACTAAAGGAAAAAACTCATGAAGGGGAAACACTGAAGGACCCCAATAAACACCATCAAATCAGCAATTATGGCTAGCCATCACAGTTCCATACGTCACTAAAAACACTAAAGCCTAAAGGAAACACCTTATAAAGGGGAGGAAACACCACAGTTCCATACATCACTAAAAGCATTATAGGAAACACCTTCTTCTAAAGGTGAGAAATAGTCGCAGACAACTAATTAATTCCAGTTCATCTTAGAATCCTGCTTACAAGGAGTTAAACTAGCTCGACCAAAAACAAAAATCCAGTGAAATTATAATGATGATATATCCATCCATACTTGGCCAAACATATATGAACATGAAGTAGCATTTTTCAGTTTTTGTCTTCATTTCGAGTACACAAAATATATTAACGCAACATGATCCTTGTATGAATTTTTTGGACAGATATTTCAAATATTGGCTATATACATATGCAGGTGTGTTAGGTGTTCCCCCTTTCGTATAGGTACATCGCTGTCTCCAGCTAATGCATAGTTATTGGTAATTACAAGTAATGTTAAGAGATAAAATCCCACATCGAATAAATGATAAAAACATAGACCAATTTATAACGGTTTGGCCTACTCCTCTTAATAAGGTTAACCTTTTAAGATAAAAACTCAAATCTTATCATGGTATCAGAGCTCATTAAACTCCAACAAGCAATTCGATCTGATTAAGACTCAAAAAAATAAGTACACGAATTAAGGTTGACACATTTCATACTTGGATAGTCCAAGGCAAAGTTAATGCTATTATAAAATAGGTTGTGAGTTCAACACCACGAGTGCAACTATAATGTGGAACGACTCACCTTGCATGTCTTGCATACTCCTCATAATTTTCGAGTAGCATCTTGCCAGCCTGCTCATTTAAAGCTGATTCTGGAAATGGTTCAATTAATAAGCATCTTATCACCTGCCAATGAAAAAGATTTAACGAAAAAATTTAGCCAAGCGTATCTGGAATGTCAATTACAAAGAAGAAAGTTTCGACTTTGGGAGAGCTCATAAACATTGACAGAACTTACAATTAAAACATGCCGTAAGCCAAGACTTGGATTCCAATCTTTTTTCAAGGCATTAACACAAATCTCGCCATTGGTAGCAATATTTGGATGAAAAATCTTGGTCAGAAAAAAGCCTAAAATAAAAACCAAGGGAATAAAAAGAGGTCACAATTTTAATACATCGTTCACAGATGATAAGAGAAAATTAAAGATTCAAAAGTAAACCGATAAGAAAAATAACTCCAACAGAGAACAACTTTTCATTTCTAACAAACTAACCACCATAGTTTACATTTAAAATTGTCTTAATTTAATTAGAAACTTGGAAACTATATCAAGTATAGGAGGTCAGAACCTTTAGGAGGGGATTGTGGGAAATCATGAGACAATATCAACTTCATGCGGAAAACACCATTTTCATACGGAGTCCCAGCTGCAAGGTTAGAGATGATTAATCACTCTAAGAAATCGATGTTCGAAAATAAGGAAAGTAAAAAGAAAAGAAATATTACCTGGGCCTTCAATATCAGCATATATAACTGAAAAGTTATCGTCGTTCACCACTACTTTAATGCCCTCTGGTGGTGTTTCATCAAGATTCTTCAGTTCTCTTGCCAACTGTTTTATTACGTTTGGAGGAAGATTTTCATTTGTTGCCTATATCAACAAGAGGAAATATGTAAAGATCTGAAACCATTCCAAATGCTTAAATACCTACTTTAGTTTTATCTGAAATACTAGTCCATATCCCATCATACTATCTGTAATTAGGAATTGTTGCATGGGAAAAAGGAATATGGTATCTTTTTCACATAAAGCGTAATTGTGTTCAAATTCGTTCTCACCGTACCAATTTAGAAGTTCATTATATCTCCAACTACATTTCTTACCAATTATACATGTAGTATTCTGGATATGTTTCAAAAATTCCATTTGAGTTCTTAGCAGGACGGTGGAGCATAAAACATTCAGAGTAACAGATAAAAAGTAAAAATCCTGAAACTTACCATATCAGGTCAAATTGAAGTTTCTGGAACCGACAAGAAGAAATCAGTACTTTCAGCCTGCTTTACAAAATTACTGTCAGAGTCGGTCCACGGGCGTGATAACAGTCACAATAGAAAATCCCTGCAAGATAATAGAATTAGCACTAAAGATTAGATCGCGCCAAAACATGTAGATAAGCGGGAAATGTAAACGTTGAAAATGACCTAATAGTGATAAGCCATGACTAACTCATCTATTCGTTCTTTAAGTTTGTATTAACTGATGGTCAAGCTACAGATCTCTATTGCATACCAAAGGCAAAGGGCCCAAATAGATCACTACAAAGATCGAATCCACAGTTACCAAATCCCATTAACATTGAATCCAATCTCCTAAATTGAAATTCCACCTTCTCTGATTGACTTAACAATTCCGCCCTCGAAAGATCTAATACTTCCCAAACATCAATAAAAGTTTCGATAACCACTGCACAGGCTTATGGTTATATGGTAAGGAGAGGACATAGTTCCGAACAACGACGACATAATTTTCATAAAACAAGCACATGAAGCACATAAGACACGTCAAAAGCAATTTAAATGACTCACAAGAACTTGTTATGTGAGAAGCAAATGGGGGAAAGGAGGACCAGAACCAGCAAAACTAGAAACAAAAGAGGAAGAAAAAGGCAACAGAATTACCTAACTTTGGAATTCAAAACGGCATCGTTGCAACTTGAGCGAAACGGTGTCGTTTTGAATTAATAAATTGTAATAGTTGGAAATCGTTTTTACAATTTAATTTTTGTCCAAACTCGACTTCAACTACAGTGTATCTACCTCCATGTGTAAAAGAAGAAACGAATCGGTGAAATCTGCAATTAATGTTACGTAATGGATTAATTAATTTCAGTTTCCATCTTCATCTCTTCTCAATTTTATCATTTATCCGTCCCCAATACTTTTTTATCTTAAATTTGGTGATTTCAGCTGGAACATTCCATTGTCTGAGTTACGGTTGCAGTGAGGATGAAAGCTGAGTTCCAGCCGTGATAGAACTCTCAGCCCCCAACCAAGAAATATGATAAAAGCAAAATCAGTGAGTTAAAAATACTAGTTATAACGGGTACATCATCATCTCACAATTTTTTTCCCTTAGCCAAAATATGAAACTGCACATGCACTTGTTCACATACACACTCAAATCTTGGCATAAAGAGAAATCTGATCTTTCAAGTGAAGATACAAAAAAAAAAAATCAAACTCATAAATCTAAGAATCAAATTAAAGAACTTTACACGAACAAAATAAATAGGAAAAGAGGTACTTTTCAAATCAGAAATGCGTATAACCCTAAAAATGCACCACTCAAACTCAAGAAAAGAAAACCTCCATTTCGATTCGAAAAACATAAATCAATTCAAGAAAACTCTAGTTCAGAAAAACACAATCAAGTAACAAAGAGAAGATCATCAAGCACACCTCGCATGATATTTCAAGAATCCTTTAGAAATACATCCAGAAATTTTAAATTAAAAACACCGCAAAAATGTACATTTCAATCCAAAAAAAAAAACTCAGATTAGAAATAAATTACATTTGGAGCGACAGAACGAGCAAGCGATGATATATTAAAAATCTCGAAAAAAAGTATATAGAAAATTTAAATAAAAAACACTGAAAATGTATTTTCAACAACAAAAAAATTAAACCCAGATGAGAAATTCACCTTCTGATCGACAGAACGAGTGAGCAAATGGACAGATAATTCGAGTGGGCTATGATCTAGGAGAAGATGCCCTTTTTTCTTTGCTTTCGCTTTCGTTTTTTTCTCAATAGTCGCTT